TCAAGGGTCTGAAAGCTTCTTTGGTACTCTGTTCTGAATCAATTCACTGACCTGCTTGTTGATCATCATTGCTCCTTGCTCCAGGCTCAAGTTGTTGGTCACCATCCCCTTCACATATCTCCTTATAAAAGGAGTAATCCTCACAGCATCAATCAGGGGAATCTCAATGACCAGTTTGTCCATGATAGCCTTGAATCTAGCATCTTCAAGTTCCTGTTTAGACTTCTTGGGATGATTAGGATAGGGTACATTGGGCTTATACACCGTTTCCTTAGCATTGTTTGAAGTCTTAGGCAAAACAGCCGTGGTTCGTGGTTGGTGACGAGCGTCACCCACCTGGTGGAGATCGTCACAGATGGGGGATGAACTCCCATCGGGCCTTTGCAAATTGGGTGACGAGCAACACTCCTCAGGGGTGACGAACGTCACTCCCTCTTTTTCAGCATGAATTCCATCATCTTCAAACTCTTCAAGTTCAATGAATTCCTCTGAACTCAAACCTTTATGCAACACTGGTTGCAGGTTCCTTCCATTCCTTAATGTGATGGCATTCACATGGTGTTTGGGATTAGCATCAGTCCTTCCAGGAAGGAATCTTTTTTGCCTCTGAAAAGCTCCTGCAGTTTGAGCAACCTGAACATCCAGCTTTTTCATGTGAGAGTTTAGACTCTCAATTTTTCCATTCAGGTTCTGATACAGCGAATCTATCTTGCCATCGAAGTCCAATGTCATCTTCTGCTGTCCTTCAAGGATCTGCTCCAGCATAGCTTCCATCTTGTTGTCTTGTGGAGGTGCAGTTTGGTAGGAAGATGAACCATAATTCCTGCTGAAATTGCTGATGTTCTAGTAAAGTTTCTGGAACTCAGTCTTCTCGAACTGAAGCTTGGGCGTGTAGCCAGAAGAATTCTGGTTTCCTGTGAAGGTATTCTTCTGATTGCTGCTGTTGTAACCTCTGTTCCACTGTTGATTCTCAAACCTCTGACCCTGAAATCCTCCAGCATTAGTGAAATTAATATCTTCTTGCTCAATTTTTCTAGATTTTCGAAAGTCTCCACTTCTGCAGCGAAATGAACTGATTTCTTCCCCACCAGAAGGCTATGCATACTGTCCAGCTTAGCCTTAACTTCAGCAATCTGATTCCCATCATTCAAACCAGCTTGTTATATCCTTTGAATGTCAGCATTCTTGGTGGTGTTACTGCAGGCCAAGTTCTCAATCAGAATTAATACAGCTTCTGGAAGGTTGGTGTTTAAGTTTCCACTACTAGCAGCATCCATCGCCATCTGTTATTTCCAGTCCACTCATCTGAAGAAAATTCCAACTAGTTGCACCTTCTGGAAACCATGATGAGGACAGTCTATTTGATAAGACTTAAATCTCAGCCAAGAAGCCTTAAAAGCTTTAGTAGGTCCTTGGGTGAATGAAGCTATTTTCGTCCTCAGGTCTTCTGATCTAGCATCATCATAGAAATTGTTCAGAAAGGGATTTTTGGTGTCTTTACAAGTGGTCAGCGATCCAGGCTCCAAGTGCTTCAGCCAATAAGTTGCATCTCCTACAAGACAGTAAGGAAACAGCTTACAGAACAGGAGGTCATTGCTAACTCCATTAGCCTTGAAACTTAAAGCCAAGTTCTCGAACCTCTCTATGTGATCTATAGGGTGCTCATGTGATAAGCCATGAAAAGGATGCTGACCTAAAAGCTGAAAGTAAGCAGGCTTGAGCTCAAAATCGTTCCTCTAAGCAGGACGGCAGATTGCAGCTCTGTTGGCATAAACCTGATCAGGTCTGTTGTAATCTCCAAGAGTCCGCTGCACAAAACGCCCAGCAACGTTTACAGCTTCATCTGGAACTTGCTGAAGCACCTGTTAAGCTATGATATTCCCATTCTAATCCAGTCTCTGCCCTTCTGCATTCCTCCTTTGTCCATCTCTGTCAATCAAATAACCCTCTGCATCTTCGACCAATACAAGTGGAGCAACCATTGTAGACTGTTTCTTAGCTTTCCTGATGGTCCTTTCCAACTTAGCTAGTTCGTCAATGCCTAAAGTCATGAGCTCCTTCTCTTTGTTGCTTCTGATACTGCAATTAGGCATACACCTGAAACCAGCACAAAGAAAAGTAGCAGAAAGTTAGTAAACAAATAAAAACTTAGACAAAATCCTAATACTATAAATCGATAGGTAGCTATTACTCCCTGGCAATGGCGCCAAATACTTGATAGGGCTCAGATTTTACCCAATTAATTAATTACTGCAAGTACATAGTAAAGCAGTTGTAGCATAAAAAGGTTATCGAATCCCAAGGGAGTAAGTAAACTATACTAGCAATTATAGATTCAGATTATGCTAAGCAGTAAATAGTAATGAAAGTAGGCGATTTGTTAATTGATCTAAGTTTCGGAAGACTAAGGGCGCTAAGTCAGGACTATTCGCAGGTTGAATCCAAGAATGTAGAATGCATGCAAGCAGGAATGATTTAAAACCGTCTCAAACTCAAAACTCAATGATATAACTAATTAATTCTTATTGCAGAAGTTATCTATGCCTAATTCACAGAATTCTAAATCTCTTTGCAAATTCTAACAAGTCAAGCAAGCATTAAAGATCAGGTTTCGATTGTTCACAAAACTTCTAAGTCAAATCTCTTGGCAAATATGCTTTTTGCTCATCTAATACTAGTTCAGGTGATTAACAATGTTCTAACATCTATTCAACAACCTAGGGTTTCAAAATCTAGATGATTAGTCTCAGAAATCGATATGAATACAAGCACAGATGAAGAACCAATGAATTTTCTATCAGTTTAGCAATTCTACAAACTCTTCATTAACCTTTAAAAATCCCTAACTTAACTAACAGATTACTTAGACATGATCTTGAAGACACAAAACATAACTGAATAAAACTGCATTAAATGATTAGAGTAAAAGATAAAGGGTTCGAAATCTTCTCTAAAAGAGTACATGATATGTCTCCCCCAAAGCTCTGAATAAAACTCTCTCTAAAGCTCTCTGAATTCTAAAAATCTAAGATAAAAACCAACAATGGCTGAAAACCTAATATATACAAGTTAAAACACGAGCTGGAACACTTTTTATAATTAGTGAAACTTTTGGGCCAAAGTTGCAATTTCCTCTCAATCTTTTAAAATAAGTCGCGACTCCTCTTCAGATGTGGGTTACGAGCGTCACCCTTGAGTGGTGATGAGTTGCTAATTTCGTGGTTGATTCTTGCAATGCTCCAGAAAGCTCCAAAACCTCCAATTATGCTCCAGTCATGCTATAACCTGAAAAAACTCTACTAGGACTCTAAAAAGACCAAAAAGACTCAATAAAAAGGACTTATACCATAGTTAAAAACTATGATTTATCACTTTGATACCAATGATATAAGACTCGGAATCCACCAAAGTCTACACACGGGTTGTTGATCGATTTCACGACCAACAGGGTTAGAGGCAAGATCCCAAAGGGCTATTCCTCGCTAGGGATACAAGTCTCTACCCCAAAATAATGTGTCTGATTCCACAAAATACTCAAGAACTAGCAAGAACACAAGAAAATGATTCCACATAATCTCTAATTAATAGAGTAACAAAGCTTAAGCTTTTTAGAGAAAATTTTCTTTTATTTTCTAAAATTTTCAATATATCTCTACAATGAGAATATATGAGCTTTTATAACTCTTACAAAGAATTTTTACAATAAATTATATTTAAATTAAATTATTTATATTTAAACAAAAGGAGAAAAATAAGCTAAATAAAATAAATGTCTTCTTTTCACTAATTTTGCTTTGGAATTGAATGAGAATTCTTTGACATTATGAAATTATGAAGATTTTTGATTATCTGATTTTTTATATTGTATCAGGAAGAATGTCTCAAACCTTGACCGTCCGTCTTGAGAGCCGCCGATACCTTGAGATGTTCCACGCACTGAAGTATCGTCCACTGGTACGCATTGAGCTCACTTTATTCGACCCTTCTTGATTAGTGTTAATATATGTAACTTTGTGCTGTCTGTGGTGCGGTATATCACCATCCCTTTGTGTCGTGCAGGCTCAAACTGTTCCTCTTTCCCATGAAGAGTGAAAGAAGTGTTTAAATAAGAGGTTTTCGGAATTTTAAAGAATAAGATCTCTTTCACTTTGTGTGAGGATCATAACATAGCTCTTTTATGGCTTTTTGTTTTCGTTCCTTTTGTGTTTTTTGCTTCAGCATTGCTTTTGAAGTAATGATGTGGAGAGATTTTTCTTTATTATTGCAATAAATGTTTAACTTTCTATCTTCAAATTCCTTTACATAATCCCTAGAACTAGATCAATTCTGCACAAAGAAAAAATTTCGAGGTCGCCCTAGCCGCCTAAAGAGAAAAATAAGTTTTAGAGGATTCCTGGCCGATGGACGGAGGCTTCTTTAGCTCTATAATCGGTCAGATTGTTTATTTTGTTAGTTCTCCATATTACTCTCTTTTATTTTGGTTGGCTTTTTTTTTTTTTTATGGATCTGAAAAAGCTTTTTTGATTGATTTTTGGTTTCTTCTCCTTTGTCTATTCTATCTGCCGACTTTATCAACATCTGTGTTTAGCTCGGTGTTGCGTTTGGGCTGGTCAGGTTAGTCTCCTCCACTATAAATTACACAGGTTTGGTTGAGATCTAGATTTGCTTTTGTTTCTTCAGTACCGGATCTATGTCATTTTCTGTCGACAAAATCGGTCATGACATCTTTCGATAGAGGCACCGTCGTGTCAATTCAAGAAGCATATTTCATAATTGACGAAGTCTACTCATTACCAAGTGAGGACAAGAAGATTTGAAAATCTGTTTTAAATATATTCTCAAATTTTTTAAAAATCTTTGTTAATTGAATTTATAAAAAATCTTATAATCATGTTAGTTTTTTGGCTAATCTTTCATTGTAATCACCTATAGATGACTTATTATATTCAATAAAAGTTATAATCAGTGTTAAAAAAAAAAAATCCCTAGAACTAAGTATACTCCATTAAACAGATCTCAGGCACGTGATAGTTTTGAATTAAACAATCTCCATCACATTGATTCCATGACATCAATGATCAATTCGCCAATATTTTTAAAGAAATCATCTCTACTCATCCTTGTGCAAAAAAAACAATGGAGAAGTAGAAAAAGGAACAAGGCAGAAAAATACAAAGAGAAACTGATTTTACAATTTACCATTGGGTGTCATGCATCAGTCCTAATACAATTTATAAAAGGAATGGTAACAAATGAGAAAAGAGGAAATTTATATCTGACTTGTTATTTACTCTTCCGTTTCTAATGAATCTCCAGCTGCAAAACAAACCAACAAAATCTTATAAGATCTTTTCTAGTCTCTCCAAAATCATAAGAGACATACTTATCCTCATACCAACAGACTTTTTCATATAACTGTTCAACAAGTAACGCTATATTAGGCTACGATATTGTTTTTGATCTCTTCCTCATGGCTCATACCAATATTATTTTTAATATAACTGTTCAGAAGTAGCGTTATATTAGGCTAAGATGTTGTTTTTTATGTTTTCCTCATACCGACCTAATTTTTAATATAAATGTTCATCAAATGTAACGTTTATATTAGGCTAAGATGATTGTGATCTTTCTGACTTTCAAAAACAGAATTTATCAAGTAGTAATACGAAAGAAAGGTGTAGATATTTTTACAAGGAGGACGAAGAAGCAGAGCATATATTACCTGAGGTGTCATCTTTAGGATGGTTTTCAATGCACTTAAGTAAGAACTTGAAAGTCTCGACCTCGCAAGGTATGGTTAACGCGCCGCTGTGGTCAAATCCGTATTCTTCCTCAGCCTTCTCGAGCAACACCTTGAACAGAGAGTGGCTAAGAAAATTTGTTGGTATTATAAATCTCCGGAGCTCGGGTCCAACATAAACCGCCAAATTCCCTTCAGGGACATCAGGCGGTGGCTCGAGACTTTGGCTAGTCTCCTCGTCCGAGTCACAAGTCTTCAAATCGAATAGCCTTCTGTTGATAACCGGTGAAATGATGGCTGTGTGCTTTCTAGCTCCTAACTCTGTATCATCTGACTTTGACCCTATTGTGACAGTTTGCCATTTTTGTAGAATCTCCTTTAGCCTCACAATCTGCTTGATCCCGGTTACCTTTGCCGCGTTGTTTTCATCCATTTTCTCCTATAATAAAGGATATGATCTTCCCAGGCAAGCTGCATTTTAGAATCCCACAAACAGTTGATCAAATAAAAGGAAGAAGCATATTACATTGTTTTGCATTTTTAGGCATTGATTCAACTAAGTCAATGTCTTCAAAAATCAAAAACCAATCCTCTTTAAGAGGGGGTCATTTGACCCATGTGGATTTTTGAAAAAAAAAATCTTTACTTTTATTTTGCAAAGATAATTTAGTGAAATGTTATTAATTGGCTAATTGATCCGTATAATATTTTAGATATATATGATCGACCTCGGTAAAATTTGTGGCTGGCTCCACCAACGAATTAGGTTCAAAGCTTGGATTTATTAGCTAGATTGTGTAATTTTGGCATTTACAAAAATAATGCGGTAGCAAAATCGTATAAATTGGATGCGTTTCGGTTAACGTGCTAAGAATCGATCTGTAAAATACGTAACAAACATGCTACATTATTTGTTTAAAACATACACACAAAAGCTTGGTTTTTTGCAAAAAAAGAAGCACAAAATCAATTTTAACTTCCTTTACATTTACCATAAATCACTTTCAAAATTTAATGCCCAAATTAAGATCATCCTCAAATCAATTTTAAAAATTTTAAAAAAAATCAATTCCATTCGTTTTCTTGTACCCTATATTTTTTCTCTAGCGTTCCCGCATTTTTTCGAGCAATCTAAACACAGAGATGTAGAGAATCCAATGAAAAAGAATCCCAAGATCCAAATCCAATGCAAAACAAGACATTTCTCAACAACAAAAAAAATATTAACAAGACGAATCCAAATCAATTACCGATAATTCTCAATACTCGTTAGGGCTAATTACATAAGAATGTCAAGTTACCAGAAGAGGAAATGGAAATGAAGCACTGTTAGACACGAAGAGGAAACGCCATACAAACGGATGTGAGCAACTCCGGAAATTTTTTTTTTTCTCGAGGATATTTGTTTTGGATGATGAAGAGAGAGGTTTCAAGTAACGGAACTAGGACAGCTTAAATTAAATTAAAATTAAATGTTCTAATTTTAAAGCAGTTATCTTATTTTGGATTTTGTAATTTCATTGATATTCTTTGCAAAAGAACATATTTTTCTTGGTTTTCCGTTACTTTGCAAAAGAAAATAATTTTCTTGGTTTTCCCTTACTTTCGCCATAAGGGGTTTTTGTGTTCCTATTTTTATTTTCTTTTGTTTTTAATTAGATAATATATAATTTAATCTGGACGATTGTGGAACCTCAAAACCACTAGATGTTTTGGTTGAGATTTTGAGTTTTTGACCTTAACTAGAGTTCGGTCTGTGCGACGTGCGTTTCTTTATTATAATTACTAGATTTAGACTTCCACGGAGGTATATGAGTTTTAAAAATAATTACATAATTTTTAAAATATAATATGAAAAATGATATTTAAAATATATTTATCTGATGATTATATAAGTTATAGATTTATTATATGTATTATAAAAATCGAAAATAATTTTATAAACAAACGAGTTTATATTAAAGATATAATATATTACTGATTTTATATAAAAATTATTTTCTTATTTTGTAGTCGATTTTTAAAAGTTTAGATGTTTAGTTGTAATTTTTTTTAACCACACAGTTATTTTTATTTAGAAATATTTATCTTTTATGATAAAAATATATTTGGTTTTTAGTAAGAATATAATTTATCTATTAATTTATGTTTTTCTTAATAAATATTTTATTTAGTAAATGTATATGTTATTCTCTTTTTTTTCATTCTTCATCTCATTTCTTTTACTTTTTCTTCTTCTTCATATCCTTTCATTTTCTTCTTGGTATCGTCCATTGTTGTTGTTGTTCTTCTCTTTTTTCAACTTCTTTTCTTTCTTTTTCTTAATCACTTCTTCTTCTCCTTCGTCCCTATCTGAGGTGAAATTCAGACAATAGAGTTTAGTTCAAAAAATAAAAGAGAACCTTGAAGTTTCTAAGATAAACACGAGAACACAGATCTAAAGATTGTGTTTTGTTATTGTGGATACCGAAATCCACACTCAGAAATTTATGTGTATTTGTAAGAAAAGAACTTTAGAGGATTAAGGACTAGATTCTCTCGAACAGATTGACAATATAAGCTAGCACTAACTGAAATAAGGATTTTGTATTAATCGGTTTAATGAAACGGTTACAAAGATCTCAATGAAAAAGATGAACTGAAAAGAGCTCTAGGAGCAGTTACAGTGTTTTCGGGTGTAAAAAGTGTGTAAAAAGATCAAGCCGAAGGTCCCCTGAACTAAGCCATTATCCTCCTTTATATAGCTTGCCTCGTCGAGCTTCAAGCTCCAACGCGTATCTCCGCCACGTGCAGCAGCCTCAGCCGGATATCTCGCCACGTGTAGCAACTTCCTCCGCGATCTTCAGACTCGTTTGAACTTGCGAGAATATTCTCTGACTTAGCTAGGATTCTTCCTTGTTTCTCGGGATTTGGTCTAGCTGGAGCTCGACCTCGCCGATCTGAGGATCTTGTTGCTCAGGATTGGATTGTTGAAAGGTGAATGGGGCTGGGCCGCAGAGTTGAAGCCCAATCACTTTGGCTTAGTTTGGACCTGCCCGTTGGGCTTGAGTGGGCCGGATTTGGGGTGTCAAATCCAGCTCCAACATTTGCCCCCCAGCCCATTAACGAGAGCGAGCTCGAGCTTTAATGGACGGCAAGATGGGACTATTGAAAGATTTGGTGTTTGATTATGCTGACGTCATGGAGTCAGATAATCATTCGAGATCGACAGTTCAGATCTTGGAAAAGTGAACAGTTTTGTCAATCATGCGGTCGAGAATCGACCTCGAGACCGTAACTTGGCGTGTCGAGATAAATCTGCTATTACCTCGTCCAGGTGGACAATCGAGATTCGAAGTAAATATTATCATTTACTTTTCTGTTTCGGCGGTCGAGCTTCCCGGGGCAAGGTGTATCTCTCGAGGAGATTCGTGCTGAGATTCGGTGACGTGGAAAGTCCAGATGGAGAGAGAGAAGGTCGATGTTATGGCCTCGATTACACGGGCTTCTGCAGCGCGTCGTATCCTTGAGGTCGAATATTCGACGGTTGAGATCAAGAGATCGAACGGTCGAGATCGGTGCGTGGCCAGATTCTCCGCGATCCTCGAGGTGGACAATTATTACTTAGATATAAAGTCCACGTTCCCACTTCTTCTTTAACCGCATCAGTTCGTCGATTAAAGGTAACTCCTTCTCCCTTTCTCTTTTTATTTTCTGCAACTTCCGTTCATCGCCTTCTCTCTTATAAATCGCTTGCTAGGTTTTTTTTGTTTTCTGAAAGAACTTCGATCATCATCCTTGAGTTTTTCTGGGTTTTAGCGTCTTTATTCTCTCCCCCCTTCTTTTCTTTCTGATGTCGGCCATCTTGAAAGTTTAGCCGCTGTAGTCCCGGGTCCCTCTAAGATCAACGACCAACAAACTCTCGACGATTTTCGTCGGGAATGCGAAATCCCCGACGGGGTGGAGCTGGCGATTCTGGCGCCGACGGAGACTCCGGCGAGGGTTGAGTCGGGCTTTTGTTGCGCTTATGCAACATACTTCCGGGACTGCAGGCTTTTCTTCCCGATCTCTCGATTCATCCTCGAAGTACTGGCGGACCTGCAGCTGGCTTCCCCGCAGATGTGCCCGAACTTGGTTTGGGCCATCGTCGGATGTGCCATGCAGGGCAAAGAGGAGAACATTATCTTCCGCTATTCTGATTTGAGAGCGTTCTTCTCCGTCAAGTACAACGCCCGTCATTCCAGGACTTTCTATGCGTTCCCGAGGTCGAACCGGCGGTTCATTGAGGAGAGTCCGGAGAAGGACTCTGGTTGGGAGAAAACCGGGTTTAAATTCTGGATTAACGAGGCGTCCGTTGGGGATTTTGACTTTTCCTGGCTGCCAGTCAAGTTCGCGAGCAACGGTTGTTTAGTTAGGCTCGAGTGCTCGTTAGCTATGTTCGCTTTGGTATGCTCGTCGAGTTTTCTGACCCTTTGCTTGATTTTGTGTATCAGGCCAACTGTCCAGAGCATCCAAGGATCCCAATATCAAGCACCGGCTAGAGTTGTTCAGACGAGGAGAAGTTATCTAGTGCACATTCACGCGAGAACGAGTCCGACGAGTTCTCACCTCCCCCGTTCCAGCTCCATTTTTCGCGCCCGGTAAGTTTTCTTTGAACTTGTATCTCGACCTTGCTTGTTGGATCATAATATTCTGACGCAAGGTGGTTTACTTTGCTGGCAGCCGGAGTCCTTCCTCTCCGTTCTCTCCCGCATTCTTCTAGTTCAGCAAGCTCGAGTTCCGCAATGTCTCGCATGCCAACCTTCCACCAAAGAACCGGGAAAGCCCCGGCTGGTCCCAGCAGCTCCCGGGTACGCTCTGGGAGTGTCAAGGAGGCTCTTGAGGCCGCGCTGGCCATGACTTCTGCCTCCGCACCTCACCTCTGCGACGAGGAGGTTGATCAGACGATGAACCCTCAACCCGATCCTCCCCCCGGATTAATGGGGGCGATTTCCGTGAGCTTGGGTAAGACTGTGCAGCTTGCTGATGACCAGGAGCCCGAGCACGCTTTCCCGCCTGCCTCCAAGAGGCCGAGAGACGACGGGGGAAGTCGTGCTGCTGAGCCGTGCCCGTCGTCGTCTAACGGGAATGGTGGCTCGATGGGTAGTCGGCCTTTCCACTGAAATTTGAGCACACCAAGGATCATCCGATCACGGATGACTCCGTGGGCATGGCGGCCATGTGGCGTCATTTCAAGCCCGCTGGGTGCCAACATCCAGCTCTCAAGAAAATGACTGAGAGGGAGCTCTACGTGGAGATGGCGGCGGCCCAGGGGAAGGTACGTGAATACCTTTTGACTTGTGTAAAATTGGTTAAGTGTTGTTTATCTTAACGCTTTGGTTCTCGATGCTCGCATGCTGCAGAGGCTTGGAATTGGCTATATGCTCGTCTTGAACAAAGGCTATGAAACGTTCCACATCCGGATGAGATCAAGGAAATGAAGGAGGTAGTCGGCAAGCTGAAGTCCGACCTAGAGGCCGCGAATGTGCTGGTTGCTCACCAGACTAAACTCCTTAGGGAGTTCAAGGGCCAGCAAGCTCACATCACCGACCTCGAGAACGAGTTGGTTGACAAGGGCGAGAAGTTCAAGGTTGCCACCAACCAGATCTTCGAGGCTCAAGCCGCAGCGGAGCGAGCTCAACAAGAGGCTGCAATCTATAAGGAGGAGAATCTTCGTTTGGTCTGCGAGTGCAAGAGCGATGTCCGCAACCTGGTTTCAGGTGCGCCCGCTAGCCTTAATCAGTTTGGTATGAATGTGGAGGAAGGAGGAAGCGACGAGGCGAGGAGGGAGGACGACGATGAGAAGGCAGGTGGTTAGCTCGACGGCTGACCGTGGCTCCTTTCTCTTTCCCTTCCTCTTTTTAAATTTAAATGTTCTGGTGCCCGGGAGGGTTTTAATCCTTTTATTTTTTGAACTCATCCGTGCCCGAAAGGGCTTTTGTTTAATGCAATCGGGCTTTATGCCTTAGATTTTGTTTATCTTTTGTCTCTTGCATTTTTTGTTCGATTAGGATATTTTCTAAGTCGTTTAATAACTTAGGGAAGCGGACTAGGATTGTCAAGCTCGAGGCTTAGGTCGCTAGTCATGAGTTCGATGCACGATTTATCGGGCCTAGACAAAACAATTAGGCCGCGAAGGGCGATCTGTTTATTCTGAGAAAAAATGGCTAAGTTTTTTAGCTCGACTTTTTTTTAGTTTTTAGAATATGGATCGAACTGCTTCGTGGTGAAGTTTTGGTGTTCGAGGTGTAGTTTGCTTTCTTTTGAGCTAGGGATTTCTCAGTTTCGGCTTTGAGATGGAGAAGGGGGTTCGATTTTGTTATGAGTTCCAAACATCCCTGTCGAACTGCGAGCTTCGTTGGGCTCGTCGATTCGAGGTCCGGAGCTCCAGCTATGGTTGAAGTCGAATTGTAAATCTGGCCGCACCTGTGAAATGGAGTAGGACTCCGAACTTAGTTGTTTTGCGAAATGAGA